TCAGCGAGCTTTTGATCAATAGCTTTGTTGTCGTTTTTCCCGGCTACAATGCTCAACTGCAATGCTTCCTCACGTTCGTTCGACTCGCGAAGTTGCTTTTCAAACTTTTCAGAGGAATCCACAAGCTGTTGTTCTAAGGTTTTAACCTTTCCATGTAGTGTATCAACTTCACTTTGATGTTCTTCTTGTACTTTCTTCAACTTGTTTACTTGTTCTTCATACTTTGCATTTGTTGATTTGATTTTTTCTTTGGCTCTTCTCATCTTTGTTTGCATTTCAGATATGCTTGTTTCCATTTCACCGATCTTTGWCTTKGCACCTTCGTCGGCTTCTTCTAATTGAGATTTGTGCAAAACTTTYATCTCATTCACGGTCGATTCGTGTTCCTGCGTTAGTTCGTCGAGTTGGTGTTTGTGTTGAGAAAGMAGGTTTTCAATTTGTGTAGTATATCTTTCTTCTATTTCAGTGTTTTTCTTGTTCCACTCGATCTCTTTATCTTTGAGTACTTTCTCGTACTTATCCTTRGACGCCTTCATTTTGCTCTTTAATTCTGATTGTAAAGAGTTCGACTTCTGTTTGTTTTCAACTTCAATTCGCTCTAGTTTTGCTTTGAGTTGTTTGTCCTCAGCAGCGAATGCTGCCTTGACTTCTTCGGCTTTTCTTGTCAATTCATCAACCTTGTATTTCATTTCTTGGAGTTCCTCTTTCAAATCATTCTCTGTTTTGAAGAAGGAAGTTTGTTTTTGATGGAACTCTTGTTCTTTTTCGGCCATTACTAAAGCATGGTCATCTGATAAACGCTGGATTTCATCTTGAAGTCTAGCAATGTCCTTGTGATACTTATCTTCGTTTTCTTTAGCTTTCTTTTGAAAAACGTCTACTTCTTTCAGATGATTTTCTTTGATGTTCGCTATTTCGTCCATCAACTTTTTGCCTTCACCAACAGAAGCAGCGTTATTGGCTTCCATGTCTTTTCGTTGTTCATCAATGGCGATAGCATGTTCTTTTMTGGTGGATTCTAGAGTCTGGGATAAGTCCAGTGATTTGGCTTTCTCTGTATTCAAGGAATTCTCAAGCTCTTCAACTTTAGACGCATGAATTTCTTCTAAGTTCTTTATTCTTTGCTTGAGTGCATTTTCTTGTTCGGATGACTTTGTGAGATCTTCTTTCCGTGCTTTTAAAATAGCCTCCTTCTCTTCAAGCGCAGACTTTTTCGATTGTTCTATTTCTTCTTGKAATTTTCTCTGTCTTTCATCCGATTTCGACTTCGTTTCTTCTAAAGAGCTCTTTACGTTTTCAAATTCTTTGTCATGAGCTTGTGTAAGATCACTGATTTKTAATTCATGATGCTTTTTCAATTTCTCCATCTCCAAGAGTTGCTTGTCGTGGATCTCTTTCAAATGAGCAAGTTCTTTTGCATGAGATATTGTGATTTCTTCTATCTTATTCTCATAACCATTCTTGATTTCCTGGATTTCTTCCTTGTGACTTTCCAGGAATTCTATCACTTGTTTCTCGGAGGCATCTTTYTCGTCGTTAGCGCGAATTTCTTGAGTTCGTAAGTCGTTTTCATGTTGGTTGAAAATGTCCTCTAGTCGYTTYTCMGAATCCATTCTAAGTTCYTCCATTTCAAGTCGATGGTTCTCAACCAATTCCATTATTCTAGAGTCCATCTCGTTTTGTATATTGGTCACTTTACTCTTTAATTGTTTATTTTCATCGCTCATTTCTCTTACCTTTTTYTCTAAGGTTTCTTTCTCTTCGCCAAGGTTGCTCAACGTTGCTTGCTGTTCTTCTTTAGTTTGGGTAAACGCCTTTTCTTTGCTTTTCAGTTCATTTTTCAGGTTTTCAATTTCCTGATAGAGGGTTTCCTCTTTTTCTTTTGCCTCATTYAATATTGATTCCATCATGGCTTCCCCCTCCTTTCTCACGCTTGCAACTTTATTTTCCCAACCAAGATTCGTATCAGCAATTTCAGCTCTATATTTTTCCTCGATGTTGCTCAGTTGCTCCTTGTGCATGGCAGTCATATTCTGCGCGATATCTTCGACGTTTAATTCTCGCTGTTGAACTAACTCTTCAAGTTTGACTCTCACATCTTCATCCTTGGCATTTAGTTTCTGCTGAAAAGYATTCTCTGCTTCCGTAAGCAAYTTTTTAGTATCCTCGTCTTTCYTTTGTAACTCTTTTTTCAATTCTTCTTCTTTGTTTTTAGATTTTTCAATCAGTTGTTTGAATTGTTCTTTCAACTTGTTGAGCTTTTGGTCTCTTACTGTGACATTATTAGTTAGTTCATCGACTTTTTCTTTGTTGKTGTCTTGCTGTGTGGTTATTTGCTTGTCAAGATCACAGCATTTCTTATTCAAATTAGAAATCTCTCTGTCTTTCACYTCCAACTCTTTTTCTTTTTCGTTCAATTCYTTTTCTAGTTGCGCTCGAACYTTCTCAACTTCTAAAGTGCTCTTCTCTTCTAATAGCAGTTTTTCTTCTTTGAGAGTCGTCACGGTAGAWTCAAACTTCTCCATATTTTGTTTYTCAGCTTGTTGAAGTTTTTCTTCAAGATCGCTSTTTTCTTTTTTCAACGTGTCTARTATTTCTTGGAACTTATTCTTCTGCGCTTCCAAATCTCTAMCAGCTTTTGTGTTGGCATTTTCAAGCTCCTTAATACTCTTTTCCTCAATTACGAGTTTTTGCTCTTTAAAWGTTTGTTTTTCATTTTCAAACYTTTCTACTAGTTCATTTTGTTTTTGCGTCAATTGTTGAATTTCTTCTTTTAACTTATTCTCTCTTTGAATGGACGATTCCAAGGAGATTTTAAGTTCATTATTTATACGTTCGSTTTCTATACATTTGTTTTCAAGTTCTTGTCGTCCTTGATCTTGTTGCGATTTCAAAACTTTCAGTTCTTCTTCCTTTTTGCAATCRAACTGTTTCGAGACTTCTTTGACTTTAATTTCGATTTCTTTCTTTGCATCTTCTACTTCTTTGTCCTTTTGTTCTTTCAAAGCACGAAGTTTTTTCTCGAGTTCTTTGGCGTAGTAGTCCTTTTCAGTAAATTTRCCTTTGAAGTCAACCAATTCYCTTTCCTTCTCGGTCAAACGATTGTCGTAGTCTTTTGTYAGAGCAYTGATTTCATTGGTTTTGCTCWGTTCCAAAGCTTTCAATGTTTGATCCTTTTCCGACAATTCCTTACGTAAATCATTCACGACTATTTTTGYAGCAGCAAGTTCACCTWCAAACTGTTTAGTTTGTTCAGCTTTTTCAGTGTTTTTACTTTCTTCAACTGCTTTTAATTTATCTTCAAGCTCTTTYGCTTCGGTTTCYTTYTCTGATAACTTCCCTCTTAATTCCTTCACCATTTTCTTCACTTCATTGCTCTTGCTTTCCATGCGTTTTGACAGTTTTGCCATTTCTGATTGTTTCTCAGTTTCAATCTGTTTGGTTTTGTCAGCGAGTTCTTGTTGATGCTTTTCTTCRGTRGATTTTCTCAGCTTTTCAAGCTCTRTGATTTTCACATCTGCTTTCTTTGTTGCTTCAGTAAGCTCTTTGATTTTACTTTGATGYGCTGTCTTTAATTTTGTTATCGCTTTTTGATGATCATCCTGCTTTTCCTTTAGTCTGTTGTTGTGTTGTTGTACAAGCTCTTTCATCTTATCCTAATGAAAAACAATAAAACAGTTCATCACGATACCGTCTGAGTAAAAAGGTAATAATTTAGCCTTGTAAATATTTATCATGGACGATAATCTGTACCTGTTCTTGTTCAATCTTCTGTTGCATTTCATTCAGTCTATTCGCTGTATCTGAAGCATAAGACATGACTATTACAAGAATGTTATAGCAATTTCTTTAGGGTGGCGAATGACTGGACTATTTTTCCTCTTTATTCCTTTGTGTTTCACTTGCAAGATGAAGTGAATAGTGAAAAATGCTCATATTCAGGGTCTAATAATATCTTAATATCTTTTAATAATTGAAATTATTAAGATATTTTCCAATGACTTTGACATACCATTGTTTCCTTCCATGATCTTGTTCAGGTCTTCATTCAAAGTTCGTAACTGTTGTATCTCCTTCTCTTTTTCTTTCAAAGCGGCCTCCTTTTGAAGCTCCTTCTCGTCAACAGCAAGCTCAATCTCACGAACCTGAGACAATCCATAAATCAATCAATCAATCAATCAATCAATCAATCAATCAATCAACCCATCAATCAACCCACCCACCCACCAACCAATCAATCAATAATTCAATCAATCAATCATTCGATCAATCAATGAATCATTCAAACATTCATTCATTCATTCAATAAATCAAATCGATCGATCAATTTTTCAATTCAATCATTCAATCAATTAATAAATCATTGTTTGTTAATTATGTTGATTTTTATGTTTTACGTACAAAACACCAAAGAAACAGGTACCTTTTCGTCATATAGAGCTTTCATTTGTTCCTCCTTTTTTGCCAAAATAACTTCAAATTCTTTCTCCTTTTTAAGCAGTCCTTGTTGCAGCTCCTTTTCCTTGTCTTTCTGCATCAGAGCCACCACTTCAGCTTTATCTCTCTTGAGTTCCTCCATCAAAGCTTTACGTTCACTGTCCTCYAAATTTCTTGTTTGATCAAATTCAGCTTTCATGGAAACCATTTCYCTTTCCATTTTCAACTCAGCTARCTCTCTTTTCTKTTCAGATTCCTCAAGAGCTTTTTCCATTTTTCGGAAGAAGTCATCTTTTTCTTTTGTAAGTWCCTCAATGGTTGACTGTCTTTCTTCTAAAGCTTTCTTGACTTCTGTGAGCTCTGTAACAGTTTCGTCTTTATCTTTGAGTGCTATTTGTAAGTTTGACATCATGTCTTGAATGGCTGCTTGTTTCTCTTGCTCCAATCGAATGATAAGTGCTTTGGCTTCCTTYAGTTGTTGWGCTGTTGTCTGCTCTTGATTCTGTGAAGTTTCCTTTGTAAAAGAGTCAACAACTTGTTAATTATAGCACTTATTAGTGGAGAACTTGGCTATTGATGCAAGCAGAAATAGAAMGCAAAGCAATATGTAATCAAATAATATTAATAACACTTCAAGAATATCACATAATTTGAATTAATGCTTGCATTGCTAGAGCAGGCTTTAATAGAGAGCTTAAGCATGACGTTCTCAGCAAACAGCAGAAAAGATCATGTGACCTGCTTTTTGGGGGTTTACTGTTACAGTTTCGACACGAGAGCGTGTTACTTTGGGGTTGCCATAATCGTGAATGAACAGTCTCTCTCTCAAATGACTACCAAAAGCACAAGGTCAGGCACGAAATTCTTAGGTAATTGGTTCAGCTCTGTTGTTAGTCGTTTGCCATAAACGTGATGCTTAAACTCTCTAATATGTACTAAAGAYGTCAATAATAACAAATAACACATGCCACTGCTTTAATGACAGTTTCACTTTTTGAATGGGAAATATTGAAAGAATGATTTCATTTGATAATTATCACTCATAGATATACCTTTGCACTGTCTAGTTCCTTCTGTAAACCATCAATCTATAATAGTGAATTATATAAACATTCAGTAAGTTAGGTGCCAAATACAAGTACTTAAAACATCAAAACCAATACATAAGTCACTATTGTAACTACAACTTCATACCTTGTCAACAAGTCTTTGTCTTTCTAACTTTTCTTCATCACTTTGGGATCCTAACACACACAAAAATATCATWCAYTTTAAAAAAGCAATCTCACTTTTCATGTATGACCTATTTTTTGATCAAATAAAGACATTKTTTTGAAATTATTGTGAATAACCTATATGTATTAAGTCTGTCATTAACTTCAAATAATAAGTTAAACCAATCATTTTTGAATAAAGTCAGCTCTCACTTTCCAGATACCATGCAATTAATAATTACCTAAAACAACATCYGAATCTGATGGAATTCTCTGTCCATGTTGTTTTAAATACTGGTTCTAAAAGGCAATTCAAACATTTAGTAAGCTAATAGAAAAAAAATCTTTTAATAATTGATAACACAGTGTTTAAAATCACACATAACTTGGTACCTGGGTCTGAAGTGCAGTAATGATATCATCCTTCTCATCTAGTGAAAGCCTTAATGTCTCCTCCAGGTGCATCTTAGCTTGCTTTTCTAATTCGATGGTCTACATTTGAAACAGTGATAACTATTATCTTTTGACATCCAGATAAAAATTCATCTCATAAGATTTAAACAATTTTTTGAACCTAATGACTTAATCGTTTTTCTTTTAATTAAAATGTGAGTGTAGATTTACAATGCAGATTTGCCAAATACTGGTAAATCTGAAAACAAAAAACTCTAGATTTTCCACAAGAAAGATCACTTCTTTACAATCAAATAATATTTAATCTTTGTACTTTGAGATAAGTTATTATATGTTATAACACAATTATTATTACCTCTTTCATTTCTGAAATTCTTCGTAAAGCTTTATCCTGTGTTTGTCCAAGATTAGTTTGAAGTTTTTCATTTTCCTTTTGTAAGTTTTTGTAGGCATCTACTACCTATAATAWACAATAAAAACAAAATATGAAAAATGTTTAATAGCAATCACTCTACAATAGAACTCTTCAGTGAGTCTACCCCCAATAGCCAATAATCAAGGACAACATACTGTAGAAAACAGTTGTATAAGTGTTCTAACCTCAGAAAATCTAGTTTTGTATCTTGTAAGAGTGCGCTCTTGTTTCTTGTACATAGCCATAATTTCTTCTTTGGTCGCTGTTTCCATCCCTGCTCCATGGTCATGATCTGTGTCAGATTCAGACCTATCTGCAAAKCCTGGACTTGCTGGTATGGTATTARGRGCTCTTTTTGGTGTTTCTGCATCATGTTCAAAGGTTGTCTTGTTAGGAGTACTGGTGGTTTGTGGTTGTGTTGTATCATATGGGTCGCCATTCTTTTCCTCTTTGCCTGCCTATCAATGTTCAAGTGAAAAATACTTGAATACCACTTCAGAAACAATAATCATTTCAAGACGTTTACTAGTTGACTCATAGCAAATGCATACTTTTGTCAATAGATGTTGAATGCATACTTGTATGTATATTAAAAATTTATAATTTTATAAGCTTGAAAATTTTAAACAATAAATAAAATATACCCTTTGGATAAGTATGTGAGTTAAAATACATTACATACTATTACTTGACAGGTTTAATTTGAAAAACAAAAACTATTTCTTTGGGAAGATTTATCAGACGAAATAATTCAAGTGTATTTAAATTGTTATAAAAAATACATATGCACTTTAAGGATTGGCAAAAAAAACATCAATGCTATTCAAATTTGAATTTGYTAAATAATATATGCCAAGACACAACATGATGCTGGAAATTGCTGRTGTAACAAGTCAATAATTTGTAGTACACTCTACATTTGAATGCTACCATACAAATACCTACTGTTCAATATAATACTAGTAACAAAGGAGTTTTTAAAGATCAAGTYCTGAACATTAATACATTTAAAATGTGTGTTTATTTTTAATTATGAATAGGTTTGATTAAGTGTCATTGACTATWTGAATGACAACAATACATTTATCTTCAATCATCTTGCAAAAAGACAGCTTAAAAGCCTCATTTTTACTGTAAGATTATCATATTTTGTTCATKAGCACAGTGTACATACATTTTAAAGTGATTGTTCTTAGTACAATAATATTATCTAGATAAAAAAAACGCTTTACTCCCATATTCAATTATAAACACTTAGAGTATACATAAATTTAMCTTTTAGCCATAAAGTTTTTATGTTTTTTTAAACATTTTACAACTAGTTTACCTCAATCCATTGCCCTAAATGGTTGTTGTGATCTAGTACAAACAGCTGAGTTTTAGGCTTTGGTAAAAATTGATATTTAAGCATTTCATTCTAGATTTCTTGGTTCAAACCTCCTTTAAGATGTTAATTCCATTTCAAACGATCAAAATATACAAGTTAGCACATGTAGCTTTTACAATTTATCTGTTATATGAGTCTAAATCAACAGAGTTGAAACAAAAGCCATAAGGTCACATGATCAAGCCATATGCAAATTTAAGCCAGACAAGTTAAGGCTAATTAGCATATCAATACAAACGTGTCATTCAAATATGATAGCTTTTAAGAGCTTCAGACAAATGTAATCAATACTATCAAATCAAATCAACTTCCTTTTTTGAGAATTTGTAAAAATATAGAAAACGTTTGACTTATTCATAATCTTTGGTCAATGAATGATGTCAAAGACTGAAAAAAGTGAAAATCAAAAAAAAGTTTCTGATGTGTTTTGACTCTGCTACAAAACATTATTATGGGACTAAAAAGATTGCAAAAAGATGAATTTATAAAAACAAAATGCTAATTATGCAAAAGAAAAACTTTTTTAAAAGAGGGAAACAAAAAAATTATTTGCACAAATAGAATAATTACAGATTTTATAAGAATAAAACATGAATTCAAATCAAACCACAAACTTTCATATCTAATTTTGATTTTCCACTGATTTTTGGAGCTGGCTTAAACTTTTCAATTTGTACATGAGCAAGCAAGTTACTAATGAGTTTCTTTCCCTGCGAATCCTGGAGCACTGGCAAGTGACAGTTCTTGGTTACTGAGTCCCAAATGCAATATAGTACATTAAATTAAAGAAATTAGAATACAAAAGACCAAATAAATAACTCAGTTATATCTATTTCATCAAACAAAAGTTTTCCCAATATTTTAAATGGAACATCAAATTCCAAGGAAAATGAATGCACTAGTGCGTTTACTGGCTTCATCTAGAAATCTCCTTTACTAATCATAATCATTGTATAATCCAAATTATTTCATAATATATACTATATAAATTTTATATATGCGCYTCAGACCCGATACAGGTAGTACAGATAAATAATAATAAATAATATAATTTCTAAAGAATTGATAAGCAATACACACAAATTAGCATGGCTAACAACATAAACAGCACCAACTCAAAACCAGATAATTATTAGTTTATAAGCAATACTTCTTGTTATTAAACAAAACATAACTTCAACTAATTGCTTGATACTTCATAACAAGTGGACCTCAATACCACATCAATAAATAATAAATACAAAAATCAGGTTAAATCAAGGGACTATCGCCTTGATAAACTCAACCCATCCAGATACCTATACACAGATTTTAGCTTCATGAAAAGGGAATCATTGGTATATATAATGTATTTGGCATCATATATAGATTGTGTTGTTTTACAGGTTATAGAATGATTGCCCACATACATATATTAATGCCAAGGCAAACAGTTATCTAAATGAACTAAAGTCTAGGTTAATTGGTGTATCAGAAGCTGCAATGTTTCTGAGTATATTAGCACAATATAATACAAATTCAATTGGAGCCATTTGAAATTCAAAATAGGGCAAAATTTATATTCAGAGGGCTATACATTACGTTATATTACATCTAAAAAAATCAAGTTATTAAACACAAGTACTTAGCAAAAAACTTTACATCAATTCAAATTGAATACCTCTAAGATTTTATTCACACGGGCCAGTACTTGTTGTGGAGTTGACTTTGATTTAGAGCCATTCGCGGCTAGTGTTTCRGACGAAGAGGATGATATTGAAGAAGGTCGATTTGTTTCTTGTAATCTTCGTCTTTCTCTACTTGGTGGTGACTGTACAAATATAAATAGGTATAACTTACTTACGATATRTTTAATGAGTCTATGGATAGTTCAACAAATAAATCGAACCACGTCATGTAAAGCTTAAGCTTACATAGTGTCAATCATTCCAAGATCGTCGTGTACGTAGACTTGTAATCAATGATATTAAAATGAAATAACATATCAACCAAAAATCACAGCAATCCTCCTGCCTTGAGAATAAAATTTACAAAATGACAGAAATTTCACGAGATCATACACATCAGTGAATTCTATAGAWCGCAAACACTAGTAATTAGCGAAAAATACCATCGATCGCTGGTATTATCATCGTACAAGATCATCGACAAGTACCACAATCAACCAACCGTACACTGTTTCTCTCACCTGTGTTAAGTTATCTGGAGAGTTTTGTGCAAACGAAGGACTTTGCTCTCCCTCTAGTTCTTCTACGATCTTCTGTTTTAATTTTTTAAACATCTTTCCGKTCAAATTCCTCGGTGTTCACCGGTTCTCTATCTCCAACAAATCCACCGCCATATTGAATTTTCGATCAACTCTCTTAGTGCGCAAGCGCAGAGCAGTGAAGCCGCTTACTTTTGCCCATGCGCAGTGAGTATTTGACACGTCAACGGAAAGACCCCGGCTACAGACATTTTTAGCGGTTTAATTATCTCCCGAACCGCGGAAAATGTCTGCGGTAATTACACTATGATCTCTCATTTTTTTACGTACTATTTGAGCACTGAATTCCTGAACGGATCAAAATGCTTTTCTTTTCACAAGACGTTTGGACATGGTTTTCTTTGATATGAGAATTCCAGGGCATAAGAAATGGAAAAAAGGAAAAAAGAAGGTTGAAAGTTTTATTATCAATAGTAGACAAAAGTACACGCAAGCTATTAATCAATGATTTACTAATAATTGTATTAATAAAAGTGAATATTAATAATTGTGACATCTTTCTGCAGCATTTATCTTCAGATCAGAAAAAAAGCGTGTCGAAATGTGTTGAACAATTCCTTATTTCAGAATCTATAAAACCCATCTTAATCCATCTTATTAGTAAGCGCCTGAGCCATTAARCAAGCAAACACTGTGAGCACCATTTTGGATTTGACTTGAACCAGGTCTTCAGGGAGGGCGTAGACTCTAGCCCCAAGTTTCCTTGCCATAGAGATTGCATACTTTGCATTCATAATGAGGTCATCTTCATCATTCTCTCCTGTTGACATCATAGCGTAATTAATGATTCCTGGTTTGATGGCGTCAATCAAATCCACCACGCATTGACTGGTTTTTATTTCTGAATCTTTGAATCCTGCGATCTTTGTGTTTTTACCCGCCGAAGCAAGTTTGTCGTTTACCCAAGC